CAGTCCGAGGGCATGGGTGCTGATGCCACCTGGTGAACAGTGGGCCTGTCTGTGCCAGGGGGCGAGCTGCTGAGTCTGTCCAGGGCAGAGTCTCCCTCCGACGACGGATCCCGGACATCTTCCCTCGTCATCTTCCTCACAGCACCTGGGAGGGACACGGGGACACCGAACCACACTTGAGGACACTGTACCCACTGGGGGGGACACTGAGACACGTTGGGGTATACACTATCCCACTGGGGACTCACTGAACCACACTGGGGGACACACAGACGCACTGGGACGCTCAGACAGCTTATATACTGTTACAGCTTTGGGTGACTTGAGAAGTCTCTCTCAGATTTTAGATAAGGTTTTAGACATTGGGAAGAGTAAACACATCTAACTCCAAAGGAGAGAGGATGTTTGCCGATGATTGGGGGTCCCTTGAGCAGAAACAATAGTAAAGTTGATCTTGGTATTCCTAGGCAAGTTGAGGATTAATGATCGCAAAGGAGCAGGGCAGAAAGACACAGTATCTGTTCACCTTAAGAGCACAGGAGGAGAGAGAAGACCAGGGGGAAGAGGAGAAACAAGGGGAGCAGAGAGAAGAGAGAGGAGCTGGAACTTGAGGCTTGCGCCAGGCGAGAGCCCCTACTTCATGATCATCCAAATCAAACCTGACTGGAGCTAAGTATTTGAACCCTGTTAGAACGTGCTATTCTGTATTTTTTAGGGAACTTCGGTTCCCTGGGTAAAAGATACCTGTTAGAAAAATCTTTCCTGATAAGGGGGCATTTTATGGATATGGATATAGGCTCCTATTTATTTTGGGGCATCCACAGAGAGAGATAGGTTTAACTGCAGGTTGCGCTGTATTTAGTTAGAAGGCAGCTCATCTCTTGTGTGGCCTCGACAGGCATACTAAGAGTTTAGTGCTTAGTAGCGGTCTGGGGTTTTCTGGGTGACCAGAATGTTTGGCCTCTGAAACGCCTTGTCTGTTAAGAATGTGTTTAAAGCAACATGTTTTGTTGTGTGTTGTGTCATTGTTTGAAAATATCTGTCCAGCCCCACCCGTAACAATAGAATGTAACTTGGCGTGTTGTATGTTTTGTGTCTCGTGTAGGTTATTGCAATAAATATTTGTTTAAACCAAGTGTCTCTGGATTATTACTCCTCGACAAAGCTGTGTCAGAGATGGAAGAATTCACGTGCCTCTGGTTGTACCGGCCGCTCGCATACAGAAATCACTTACAAGTCGGGGATTATAAATAATTATTTCACCGCTCGGTCAATTCCTGATTTTCACCAGTTTTGTAACAATATAAACATCGTAACGCGAGCGATGGTTTAAATCTTGGGGTGCAACGGGGCTCCTGACATCCATACTCCACACGCCAACAGCAGGGGGCGCACCTCCCATCTCAAAGCGAACACCAGCGTGGCTCGCAGTCACTGGACAACATCACCCCTAACTCAACACGGGACCCCTGACACAACACCCAGCCTTGAGCCCTGCGCTTCCCACAACTCCGAGGCAGTGCCAGCAGGCCAGGCCAGGCCAGGGCAGGGCAGCTCCCCTCTTGACATGAGAGCGACGTGATCATGACAGGGCTCCCGGGCAGCAGCAGCAGCAGTCCCGGCCCCCTCACTCAGGAGGGATGCGCCCTGTTCCTGCAGCACACGAAGCAGGACAAACTGGAGTCCTCGCAGAGCGACCGGCGGGACGCTCGGGGCCCCACGCCAGGAGGGGACGACCGGGGGGGACACGGTCCAGGTCATGCCAGTACAGCTCTCTGAGCCCGAGAGAAGGAATGAGAGAGCGAGGGAGAGGAAGTTTAACACAGGGCTCCGCTTCTCTATCGTTCCGGTTATGTCAATATTAGCTGACGGATCAGCAGACAGAGCTGTCTTGATCCCAGAGTCCCGCCGCTCCTCCTGTTCTTCCACAGTCTGCGAACAGCTGCGCGGTCACCTGGCCTG